AAAGTTTGAAGTTTGAACTTAGTAAAGAAAAACTAAAGATAATCTTAATTTCAATTATTTCATGAAATAAAATGAATTCCTGAATTCCCCAAAAGCAAACCCGATTTGCCATTACAATGAAACAAACGAACCCGAAATTACCCTACTGTCTTCACCCGAATAGAACGTATGGCCATTACATTATAGATGTATTTAGACTGTAAGATAGCTCAAATGCATACAGCTATAATGACCATACGTTGTATTCGGGTCAAGAAGGTAATCCACCAAGTAGTTCTGTTTGACTCAATACATATCTTATTAATTCACATGGAGAATTAATAATTTATTAATTTATTATATTGGTTATTGTTATCCACTAACTAATTTATAATTATTCGCATTTATTACATTTAATTTATTATACACTGAACCACTAGTACTTTCGAAAGCCCGGCCGTATACGAGCTGCGATGCACTGGGCCGAACCTGCCCCGTGGATCCCGACCAAATTCATTCAAGTGGAACATCATGGGGCTCTATTTTTTTGCCGCGGCCTATGTATGAGCAAAATACTGGTGGTTCAAAAAAGGGGGTGCCATGGGCAGCAGTGTGAAGAAGCTTTGGCACGAACCTGTTTCGTTATGATCCGTGTGAAAGGATCCCCGAGGGTAGATAGCATAACACGAATCTGGCTGTAAGCGTCTTCTGCATTCGTTGACTTCAACATCTCGGACAGAGAAGCCTCAAGATGATCATCCCAATCTGAAATCGCAAGACATTTCGATTCAGCCCTGTTAGATCAAGTGCACGAGTTTTTTTTCTTCTTTTTTTTTGTTTTTTTTGTTTTTTCTATTTCTTCAGGAGGGAAGAGTTTGGGCACTTAGATGGGAGCTCATGCAACCACACAGCGACTCAAAACATAAATTAATTAATTTCAACCGAAAAAAAATCCCCCCCCCCTTCCTCCCCTCTCCCTCCCCCTCCCCCCCCAAAAAAAAAGAAAAAAGAAAAAAAGCTTTGTTCAATTTTGTTGATAATAACTTGATATGATATGACGCGAGATGATTCGAAGTGTCTGATGTTCTCAAGAGTTAAAGGGCCTAGCTCACTGCTCAACAGTCAATACATATCTGGACAGTTGTGTGTACAAAACACATTAGGAGTTATCCAACCTTCCCAATGTATTGGGACACTTGTCAGCTCCAGATACATTTAGGATGTTGTGCGGTAGATCGGGCACCAAAACCTAAGTCCAGAATGACCATGACAAGATGACAAACATCCTAGGGAGATATCCCGGGCGCCCGGGTCCTGAAGTCTCGCCCGGTTTAGCGGCCGGGTGACCGACCGCGGGCATGGGCCCGGGCAGCCCCAGTGCAAAAAAAAAAAAAAAGACTCCCGAAAAATCTGAAAAACAAATATGTTGTGTAGAATAGCCACACAAACAACTTTTGGCTGAGGGTCACATCAGAATTCCTCACAAAACTGAAGATAAAAATAAAAAATAAAAAACATCACATCAAGGCACCCCCCTTTAAACCCCTTTAGCCCCTTTAAAATT